TTGGTGGCAGTTAACGGACGAGTGATTGGATGATTGGTGGCAGTTAACGGACGAGTGATTGGATGATTGGTGACAGTTAACGGACGAGTGATTGGATGATTGGTGGCAGTTAACGGACGAGTGATTGGATGATTGGTGGCAGTTAACGGACGAGTGATTGGATGATTGGTGGCAGTTAACGGACGAGTGATTGGATGATTGGTGGCAGTTAACGGACGAGTGATTGGATTGATTGTATAGTCCCGAGTACTGACTAGTAGCTGTTAAACCCTTCCTATTTAAGCTGTCTCTTCTGTCTAATCCTCAGTTTATGTCTGTCTGTCTGTTTGTCTATCTCTATTAATCGTTCTCTGCTTATATGTCATTCTATGTCTCTTTCTCTCACTATCTCTATCTTACCTCACCTTACCTCATCTAACTTATCTCAATTTTTCTACCATAACCTTTGGATATTTGTTAACACACACACACACACACACACACACACACATTACTACTTTGCTGTCACTCGGAATCGAGTCTGACGATCAACCAGCTATGATACAATGGCATGAGTTATTGATGTCACCTTCGTTGGTGAGCTGTGAGGTGAGTCGAGAGGCCGATACAGGACCGGCAGAGTCGTTCACAGATGTTGCACGTGTGGAGGGCTACATCTAGTGTGGGAGGGGCGGCGGCAGCGTCTTTCCGGCGTTGGCGCTTGTCTGCCTCGTATGTAGTCGGGCTAACTCGAAAGTATTGACACCTTCTCGTGTGGTGATCCTCCAAGCGTTATAGTGTGGAGTGATTGTTTCGTCCAATTTGCACAGTCAGGTACAACAACTGTAAATTTAGTGTAATCCTGTACTTCCGATACACGAGGGATGAGAGAGTAGAGAGAGATTCCTGGCCACAAATACATACACACATACTTTCACACAATGTTCCAAAAATTGCTCTTGTTCGTAATTCATCAAAATACTACAAGAATCTCTGTAATCTCTCATCCCTAGTGTATTAAATTCACAGTTTTTCTACCTGACTTTACTAGTTGGATTTTTGGGGGTATAGACATAGTGAATGTTTATATGAGTTGCCTTTGTGTTATGTTACTGTCATTATTATCATTATTATTTGAATTGTTGACATAGAAAATTATTATTATTATTATTATTATTAGTAGTAGTAGTAGTAGTAGTAGCAGCAATAGTAGTAGTATGTTTAATTTTAAGGTAATAAAATGGTGGCGAAGGTTTGGCTATTGGGGGAGGCTGGAGGCTATTTAAGAAAAAAACAGTAGTAGTAGTAATTGTAGTAGTAAATATGGTATTATAATCTCTGCATAAGTCTAATAAATTCCCACACACTCATAAATACAAAAAAAATATTGAGCTATTACCATAAATTATTCGCACTAAAAAAAGTAAATAATGTTTCACGTATCTATCATTTCAGGGGGAAAAAAATAGTTTGCAGGTTGTGTCAAAATATTCCCAACTTGGCAACTTTACTGACTCGTGCTGCCATATCTGCTTCATTTCCTACCTTGTATTTTTCACGTGGTCCGGGGGCGAGCCGTTGGGTTGGTCTCTCTCTTTCGCTCTCTCTCACAATCAATCGTTAGCACACACACACACACACACACACACACACACACACACTCATACTCATTCATTCAGACTTACTCATTCGATCAGTCTTTCACTCACTCTCACTCATTCAATGGTTTATTTCTCTCTCTTCGTCTCTTTTTTTTTTGTGAATCTGAATTACTCATGAATAAAAACATTTCCTCTGAGTAAAAATGAGAACACTCCCAAAGTTATTAATTTATTCATCTGATATTCACCACCGAGATACTTTATTGTAGGTCGAATGAACCTCAGTGTTAATGTGTCCCAGTCCCAATGTGTCCCAGTGTTAATGTATCCCAATGTTAATGTGTCCCAGTCCCAATGAGTCCCAGTGTTAATGTATCCCAATGTTAATGTGTCCCAGTCCCAATGTGTCCCAGTGTTAATGTATCCCAATGTTAATGTGTCCCAGTCCCAATGTGTCCCAGTGTTAATGTATCCCAATGTTAATGTGTCCCAGTGTTAATGCGTCCCAGCCCCAATGTGTCCCAGCCCCAATGTGTCCCAGTGTTAATGTATCCCAATGTGTGTCCCAGTCCCAATGTGTCCGTCTTAATGTGTTCCAGTCCCATTGTGTCCCAGTGTTAATGTGTCCCAGTCCCAGTCCCAGTGTTAATGTGTCCCAGTCCCAATGTGTCCCAGTCTTAATGTGTCCCAATCCAATGTGTCCCAATCCCAATGCACCCCCAGTCCCAATGTGTCCCAGTCTAATGTGTCTCAGCCCCAATGTGTCCCAGTCCAAATGTGTCCCAGTCCCAATGTGTCCCAGTCTTAATGTGTCCCAGTCCCAATGTGTTCCAGTCTTAATGTGTTCCAGTCTTAATGTGTCCCAGTCCCAATGCGTCCCAGTCCAAATTTGTCCCAGTCCCAATGTGTCCCGGTCTTAATGTGTCCCAGTCCCATGATTGGAGGTCAGTAGGATCGGGGCTTCTCTTTGTTTCTTCGTTTTCCTCCTATTCTTTTTCTTCTTTTATATTTACTTCTTTTCTTGTTCTTATTTTATTCACTTCTTCTCTTCCTCATCTTCGTTCTCTCTTCTTTCTTTTCCTCAACTTCCTTCTCTTCTTCTTCATCTACGTCTCGTTATCTCCATTCTCTCCTTATTTCTCTACTACTACTTCTTCCATATATCTTCGTCTTCTTCTTCTTCTTCTTCTTCTTCTTCTTTCTCCCCTTCTTCTTCTTCTTTCTCCCCTTCTTCTCCTTCTTTCCTCTTATGAACAAGTAATGTAAAACTCGCCAGAATTACAACAAGTTCCACCTCATTATTTCACGGAGTCAAAGGTCAGTCAATCGAGAAATAAACTTGTGTTATATTTTTTAATTTGTTTCGTCAACATCTTATGAGAAATGAAGATGATATTTGGGTTGAATAATATCACGTTATCTGACCTACACACTGATGACATTTCACAAGAGGTCAAAGTTCACCTCAAAAATAAATATACATAAAAAATTCAGGTGTTTCTGGTTCAGGATAGAACACTAGTGAGTCGTGTGTGTGTGTATTGAATACCTGTATGGTGTATATACATGAGGAGTCACTGTAAATTTGTATGAAGATTCTACTGAGTAAATACCTATCTATGTACCTACCTATATCTATCTATTTTCTATCTATCGATCTATCTATCTGTCTATCTATCAGTGGAGATATAATAGCGCGGTGTGATAGAGGGACGCTATATGACGCAGTGTGAGTAGAGAGCGACCCTATGTGACGCTGTGACGCAGTGTGAGGAGAGTGTCGCAGTGTGACGCAGTGTGAGGAAAAAGTAAGGCTCTCTGTCTGTCTGTCTGTCTGTCTGTCTGTCTACGTATTTATTTACCCAGTGTAGGTTATGTATCTAAGCTACTGTGCCGAGTAGCAACCTTGTATATAAGCTACTGTGCCGAGTAGCACTTATGTATATAATTACGTGGCAACACTACACGTGTTATGTGGCAACATTGCCCCGAGGCTGCCATATGGCAAGGCAGTCTCAGTCTGACTTCGTGAGCCGTGCATGGCACACGCTAGTCACCACCTGTATTTCTCCTATCCGAATAAATGGACTTCAGTGTTACCCGGTGTTTCCCTACCCATCACTGCATTCTTCAGGGAACACTTGGAACCTTTACCCAGCCAATCATGTTTTAACCTCTCTCAGTCGTTTTCCTTCATTATATTATCTTATGATTTATCGACCATTAATCATCCATCCGTCAACCCATAGTCATCCACCTCGTCCACCCTTATGGTCATCTACCCGTATAGTCATCCACCCCGTCCACCCTTATGGCCATCCACCCGTAGTCATCCACCCCGTCCACCCTTATGTCCGTATAGTCATCCACTTGTCCCGGTCATCTACCCGTATAGTCATCCACCCGTCGGGCCAGTCATCCACCGTCGGTCACCGTATAATCATCCACCCGTCACCCATCTACCCGTATAGTCATCACACCCTTATGGTCATCTGTCATCCATATGGTCCATCCATGTATAGTCATCCACCCGTATCACATCCACAATCATATAGTCATCCACCCCGTGTCATCCATGGCCATCCATCATCCACCCGTCAATGGTCATCTACCGTATAGTCATCCACCCGTCCACCTTATGGCCATCCACCCGTATAGTCATCCACCCGTCCACCCTTATGGCCATCATCCATCCACCCGTGTATAGTCATCCACCCCGTCCACCCTTATGGCCATCCACCCGTATAGTCATCCACCCGTCCACCCTTATGGCCATCCACCAGTATAGTCATCCACCTCGTCCATCTACCCGTAGTCATCCACCGGTCATCCACCCCCACCGTCACCCTTATGGCCATTATAGTCATCCCTCCATTATGTCCACCCTTATGGCCATCCACCCGTATAGTCATCCACCCGTCCACCCTTGGCCATCCACCGTATAGTGTCCACCCTTATCCATCTAGTCATCCACGTCCACCCTTATGGTCATCCACCCGTATAGTCATCCACCCCGTCCATTGGCCATCCACCCGTGTCATCCAGTCCACCCTCCACCCGTATAGTCATCCACCCGTCCACCCCATACCCGTATAGTCATCACCCCGTCCACCCTTATGGCCATGTATAGTCATCCACCCCGTACCCGGCCATATAGTCATCCACCCCGTCCACATCCAGTCATCCACCCGGTCCACCCATTCGGCCATCCACCCGTATAGTCATCACCCGTCCACCCTTATGGCCATCCACCCGTATAGTCATCCACCACCCCATCCACCCGTATATCAATCCATTATGGTCTATAGTCATCCACCCTTCCACCCGTATCATCACCCGTCGTCCAGTCCACCCTCATCCACCCGTATAGTCATCCACCCGTCCGGTCATCTACCCGTATAGTCATCCACCCCATCCACCCGTATAGTCATCCATCCGTCCACCCTTATGGTCATCACCCGTATAGTCATCCATCCGTCCATCCTGGTCATCTACCCGTATAGGGCCATTATAGTCATCCGGCCATCCAGTAGTCATCCAAAGGGCCATCCAAGTCATCCACCCGTCCATTATGTTCATCTACCCGTAGTCATCCAGACGATTGGTTTATGGTCATCTACCCGTATAGTCATCCACCTTTAGTCCATAGTCATCACCCTTTCTAGTCATCCATAGTCATTAATGGCCATCTACCTATAGTCATCCACCCCGTCCATCTCCATCCACCGTATCATCCACCCTCATGGCCATTTACCCGTAGTCATCCACCCTCATCAGTAGTCATCCACCTCGTCTCCCTCCATCCAATTCATTTTCCTTGCAAGGTTCCTGATCACTGTGAAATAATAGATTGAACGAAACTTTGGTACAGGAATGAGCTTTTTAACATAGCTTTATAACTAGTATTTTCCTCTTCCTCTCAGTATGACCCTCTCCTCCTCAATATTTCCTTCTCCCTCTCAATATGTCAATATGTCACTCCCTCACCAAGAATATTTCCTCTCCTCTCAGTATGACCCTATCCTCCCCTCAATATGACCTCTCCTCCCTCCAATCCCACCAATATTCCCTCTCCCTCCCAGTCAATATTTCCCTCTCCCTCTCAATGTCCTCTCCCTCCCTCAATTTCCTCTCCCTTCTCGTCCGTCTCTCTCTCCCCTTTCAATATTACCCTCCCCTCCCACAATATGACCCTCTCCCTCCCACTCATTTCCTTCTCCCCTTTCAATATGTCCGTCTCTCTCCCCCCTTTCAATGTTTCCTCTCCTCTCCACATGACCCTCTCCATCCTACTCAATATTTCCTCTCTCCTCTCGACATTTCCTTTCCCCCAACTCAGTATTTCCCTCTCCCTCTCAATATTTCCCTCTCTACTCCCACTCAATATTTTTTCTCTCTCCCCCCCCACTCAATATTTCCAAGTAGTTATTGTATTACTTTTGTTCAATTTAGTCATTTTTTCCTCAATCGCAAATGTGGTTTTTCGATCAATAACTTACACAAAAAACTGGACAGACAGGAGGTAAAAGGTTTGCGGTGGGTGTTGCCTCTTGCTTCCAGTTCGATGACCATAAATCTCTAAATGTTATTGGGCAGAATTATGGTCCTTGTTGGTCTTAGAAATGTTGTCAATGACGAATGTGGGAAAATTTATGGGTCTTTCTCTCTCTCTAATCGATAAAAAAAAAATAGGCGACCGATCGATGTGAAATTATGGGTGTTCAAGGTTATATTGTCGATAACCTGGAAGAGGAGAAGGAGGAGAGTCAGTCTGCCTTTTCCGGAGCGAGTATTATACGTTTTTTTTTTAGGTTATTATGGTGTGATTTATTACGAAAAGTATTATAAATGACATACCTGGCCAGTTAGGAGATAAGTGATATTAACCAAGTGTCGTGGGCTACTGTAGGGCCTAGTTAAGGTTAGGGGAGGCTCTACGTCAAGAGCTCTAGGGGGTGCTCATGTATTCATTATTAATTGTATATATTTTTTTACGTCTAAGTAAATTAAAATATGATAGGAATTTATCTACTAGAGCCATTTATTTATTTATAATTTATAATTCCGCACAAGATGATAAAATTAATACACTTAACGTGAACACAGTAATATAGCTTTAATGTGATGAATATTTTATAGAAATAAATTATTAGTTTAGAATAACAATGACAATGTAATACACGGGTATAGAATTCGTACATTTACAAGAAACTTTTCTTCCGATATATTATTTCTAGTTTAGCACAAGATGACAAAGTTACTTCACTTAAAGCTTATAATAAAACCTTAACTCATAGAAGCAAATATTTCACAAAATAACTACAAGGAAACAGAACTGAAACATTGACACCAAAGTTTTCTTCCTTGACTTCATTTTTGGAAACATATTAACAATTTTTTTTAAATTAATGATCGTGTGAGATCATACTGTTGAGAGAATACAAAGATTACTTAACTTATTGTCTGAGAGGCATCACCTCATGCAGATCTTATTCCTACCCATTGGTGAGAAAGACGCTTTAACCAGGCCCTGATTGGGGGCAGGGGGTGGGGGAGATATCCGGGGGCTACGCCATGGTGTAATGGGCCTAAGCCGGTAGGAAATTTTTTTAGCGTCTCTGGGTGAATCACAAAAATTTGGATAAATTATCTGACATATATTAGTTAATGTTAATATTTAATACTAATTTCTCAAATTAACAAAGCATATGGAGAGCCATCAAACTGTTTAATTACCACGCTGAATGGGTTAACCAGGCCATAGGCTACTGTATATATATGTCTTTACTCACCTTGGCGTGAGGAGTGCGGTCAGTGCCACCTGTAACTTAACCTAACCTGACTCAAACAGGTCTAACTTAACTTAACCCAATATAACCTAACTTAACCCGATATAACCTAACTTAACCCAATATAACTT